GCTGTCTATCAAAAGCCGCGGGTGCTGTTTGGCGTCGTCGGGCGCGAGTACGAGACAGCAGAGGTGATGACGGCGACTGTCTGGGCGGCCGTGGCTGTTGGTGGGGAAAAGACTAACAGGCAGGCAGCATGGCGGGGTGAACTCTCAACACCGTCTCACAAGGGTTCCATGGAATCAGGCTTATTGCCCTGCTTCAGTCATGCCACTTTGACTTCTCGCATCCTCTCGACCACATCCCGAATTCTTATCTTTGTTGAAGGCAGGTGCGCATGACGCCCGCCCGATTGGGCACCGACGCCTTGACATGTGCGACCTGATCTGACTGTGCGAGGCTTGTTTTCCCCCAGAACTTCCTCCATCACTCCTTGCACAACTCTCTGAAACCTTCATCACACCGTCCACCACGTCTTGCGCGTCAAGAATTGAGAGCGCTGATGTCGGTAGGCATGTTCCCGTTGTATCGCATTGACACGGGCTTCTTCGACTGCTACCCCATCAGTTCACTCACGCCAAGTACGCGTCGTACTTTCTTATGCTAATCCTAGCTTGATATGTGCGCGAGATGTTCGACACATTGCTTTTCCCTCACTCAGAATGTGTGCATAATCGCGTTGATCTATAGCTACTGCTGACCGGTCCCGTTGCCAGCTGGTGGAGCTAATGTACCGTGTAGTGACAACAATCTTCCACCTGGCATCAAGAGCTGTTGAGAGTGATAGAATATTGCAAGACCGCGTAGCAGACAGATGTCGAGTCAGCATTCGAGAACCGAGCTTCAGTTGATGTTGATAACCACATGCGTCTAGCGAGATCGTGTATGCCGACCCATCCAAGAGCGAATAGGTATGGTCGCATGCACAGCCTCGTGCAACCACCTACATTTTCTCGCCGTCATTGCTGCCTACCTTGACATTCTCTTTTAAACATGACACGAGACCCAACGCTACTTCTATCATAAAGCTGTCAAGGTGGCCGCATCGACGAATTGACGAGTCGAGTCATAGGTACGCTTATTCACACGAACGGCCAAGCGCTACCGAAACTTGGGCCGCACCTACGTTTGTTCAGGAGCTATATGACTACCAGCCGCCATGTCTCTGGCCATGTCGGAAATTTACGATTGCATCCCGTCGTTCAAGCACGCCTCTCTCGATCATACACGACCATCCATCCGGGTCCTTAAGGTGCTACCGGATCTCTCCCGAGAAGGCTTCATACAATGCATTATTGAGCAAGGGACTATCGCCGACGATTATACCTGCTTATCCTACACCTGGGGACACGAAGACACAGCATGTCCAATCCTTGTGGACGCCCAGCTGTTATTTGTCCGACAAAATCTGCACAACTTTCTGCACGTTGTCCGAAAGAAATATCCTTTGAGGCCGTTCTGGATAGACGCTGTTTGCATCGATCAAAACAGCATTGCCGAGCGAAATCACCAGGTCGCTCAGATGGGGGCCATATACGCAGCAGCAGCGCACGTCATGATCTGGCTGGGCAACAGTTCCAAAATTGCTGACTTCTTCCGCACTTGGAACGAACGCCCGCAACATGAGAGTAAACTATCCTGGTACATGCGCGCTGAGGATCAACTGAAGAGGGTAGAGGCTGGCTGGGTCGAACTTGCGAATCATGCTTATTGGACTCGGGCCTGGATCACACAAGAAATCGCAAACAGTAGAGTACTCAGTATGCTGGCCGATGTGGTGGAAGTAAACGATCTTCAAGGTATCCCCCGGATTCCATGGTTTGCGGCTGTAGAATTTGATGAGAGATTTCTTGTTCAAATGAATATTGCACGGCACCATCATACCATTCTGGGAAAGCCCCTCCCATACTTGCTCGAAAGATTGCCGCACCAAGAATGCCACAACCCCCGTGACCAGGTTTACGCTCTTCTGGGACTTGCTGCAGAGGGAGCAGCTGTTCGGGTTGACTATGGCAGCTCAGACCTGGGTTTCATCCTGACGTTGTTCAAAGGATGCACAGGACTAGCGTGTCTATGTGGTATCAGGCTGCTTTCCGGTGTACTAGGCAACATAGAAGAGATGGGCGCCAGGGCATCAATGGAGGCATACTTTGTCAAGCTCACACTGCCGTTATTTTCGAAGTCTATCGTCCAGCACAGAATTGCACCTCAGACGATTACACCCTGGAGAAGTGGGAGAAGTAACAACGACTGCCCGCTGCAAATTCGACCAGGTACAATGCTTTTCTTCCAGATGCGTGACATCTGTCACACGCAACCCCCTAATTTAGGTCTTGAGGTAGTAGACCTCGGAGGTGAAGGGAACAGACAGCAAATCTGTCGTTTTGCTCAGATGAATACGCGCTGCGATGTGACAGGGAGAAAAATATGGCCATTCCATGAATGCCCTTGCGAAGACAGTAAAGACAGTCTGCAAGGGTGGCAGCGACCGATTGCGTCATCACAGGAACGTATGCACTATGACTATAACAGTAGGAGTTGGCAGCCGGACATCGGAATCAGCGGCCATGGAAAGTTATGCTGGTTCTACCATGCGGAAAAAATGGTCTCGGATTGGTTCCGCGTAGAGTCTCAGACCGTAGACGCGAGTGAGGGAATTTTGTGTACTCTGCATATCCCTATGGCGATTCTTCTGTCATACACTCAGCAGTCGAGAGTGCTCGAGGATCTGATACCACGTTGTGCGTCGAGGAGTGCTAAAGATTTGTTGTCGAGAGACACAACGCGTGGGCGGCAATGTGATCGGGCCCGGAATGGACTGGGTGCTTTTATGGCGATAAAGAAAGATCAAGACTCCTGAGGACGTGTAGCTGCGCGAAGGTGTTATCGGCTCTGTACCAAAGAAAACCACTCAATGTTTGCCGAACTCCGCGATAGCACTGCCGAATATGAAAGCGCACGACCATATGTAAGGTGTCGACGAGGAGCACGTGCGACCAACAACGGTTTGCGTACGTGATAAGGGTTATACGAGATGTAGTGTTAGTGGTGGAAACAAGTAAGCAGCGTGAAGTCGAAGACATAGCCCGCGTTTCCCTTGGGTATTTGTTCGCTTGCAAGTTCGTGAGATGGCGCCAAGGACTGGTCTGAAGGATAATCTGTGATCACAAATGCTTAGTGGCTCTCCAGGCAAATGTGAGACGTTCTGGGCGCTCCTTGTATATTTGGGTCTAGTATTCATGAACTGCTGGGATGTGTATAGCACCTAGATATCAATCGCTTTGACATCTTTGGCCCCCATTCCCACGAACTAGGAGCCCTTATCCAAGCCCAAGATTAGGTCCAGTCGTGTCCAGAGACGGGTATGTCTGAGCGAACGACTCGGCAGCCTCCCGCTCTTAGCAGTGCAGGATCTGGGATCTGGGCAAACCTGCATCCGGCTAGCGTCACCCATTTACGTCATGACAAGTCGCGTCAATTGGGTACGTAAGGAGAAGTCGCACGTCGAAACACCGACTTTTCACACTCCACCCAGGCACTATGGCCAATGCCATAGGATACAGACGCCACTGTTATTACGACGTCGGCACTCTTACTCTGGTGTATCCATCACCCGCCAACGCGTTCGTTGAGAAACTGGGATCACGCGCCTCACCTCAGATAGGCATGAGTGCGCCGAGCCGTCCACGGGGATTGAAGTGATGGTTCCATGCGCGTCTCTTCCCCATGTTCTCTCCTATCCTTATGGGCTCCTTCCATCCGCCCATCTTCATCACCAGCCGTCTCGAAGGATTCGTGCAGCGGTTGAGAGTTGATAATTCAAGGTACAAGGTCTACGAGTCGGGCCTTTTGCGGAGCATTTCGCAAGCGAGGCGCGACTAACGCAGGTTCGCCAGCGACGCGCTACCCGAACCCCCTACCGACAACGAGTCCATCAGCCGTCGCGGCTAGCAGCCTCACGGCACGCTGCCCGGGCACGGAGAACTGTGCAGAAGCTAAGAAGAAGAGAGAGAGCCGATCTTTCCAGATGATGCACTCCCGACATCGCGGTACCTCCCAGTATCATGACAAGAAACATCGCACGATCACCAATGGATCCATCCTGTGCTGCGCGGTGTATCAGAATATCAATACCCCTACATTTCAACAGGGCCATTCCATGAACAGAGAGTACGCGAGTGTCAGTCGCGAAGTTTTCGAATCCTCCAGGGTCCATCTATAGCAGCCGTTCAGGAGCCAGGCACGTAACAGCACCCAGCAATATGGTCCAGCCGTGCCACATTCACCGGTTCCACATCGTCAGGCGACCCACGCCATATCTAACCTCGACACGGGAACGAACGTCGGGTGAGGGTCGCCGTACTTGCCTAGCAGCATCCTAGATTACGCCCCAGAAGCTATGCCAGAATGCGACAAAAATCTGTCTCGTGCGGGTCTTTCTGGCGGCTTGTGCTCGACACAGCTGTCAAATTATTTGTTGGACTGATGTGGATACTCGAGAAACCCGGAAGATCAACGATAACAGGTTGATATGCGTCCAATTCTTTCCCTTCTTGAAACCAGGTCGGCTTGTTGCCTCCGCTTAAGTCTGCTTCACAACTATTCGCAATGTCCTGAAGCATATGCATCTTTGCATCGCATCCTGATGTGTTTCCACATGTTCCCTCCTTAGTCCTTCTTTTGCATCTTTTCTGCATACTTCATCCCTTCGCTCCCCACTTCGCGCTCTGGGAAGCCGTGGCTATCAGCGTAAGGGTATTAACATGACTTACTACGGCGACAACGCTCCTGAGCTTGCTGCTTCAGTCATCGCACTGGCAGTTATTGCTTATATTCTTTTCGGATTGCGAGTCTATACGAGACTACACAACAATGCTTGGGGCTTGGATGACTGGAGCATGACAGCTGCAACTGTGAGCCAACCTCGAGGATTCCACACAAGACAACTCAACTGACAGGAACGACGCAGGTTCCCTTTACTGGCTTGACAATAGCATGCATTGGGGGCGCCTTCAGCGGAGTCGGGGTCCACGACGACAACCTCAACGCAGAAGAGAAAGTTAAAGGGATGGAGGTACGTTTACACCTATCTCAAACTCTGTAATTCCTCCATGCTAAACCATGTAGTTCTTCTTCTTCTTCGAGGTCTTCTACTGTGCAGCGATCATTCCTATCAAGATGAGCATCTCGTTCATGCTCATCCGCATCGCATCCCGGAGAAAGGCCTATATCTACAGCTTGTACACTGTTTCAGCCATGTTCATCGTCATGAACTTGATTGCGATGCTGTACATCATTTTCCAGTGCGCACCAGTGTCGTACGCTTGGGATACCTCGACTCCTGGTGGAAAGTGCAACCCAGCGCAAACACTGGCCGACATATACTACGCGACGACTGCAGTCAACATTGCGACGGACTGGTTTTGCGCACTCCTACCCATACCACTGCTCTGGAACGTACAGTTGAACCGTAATGCTAAGCTTTCGGTCGGCGTGATTCTCGGTCTCGGTGCATTGTAAGTTTCGCCTATCTCTTGGGAACCAGATCACCATCTAATGCCCCACAGAGCAAGTCTTTCAGCATGCATTCGTCTTGTCTACACTGTTAATCTGACCAATGCGACCGACTACCTTCGTAAGTCCCCATATCCTTCTGCTCCCACCGGGCAAACGTACTGATCAATCCTGCAGATGGTGTATCTAAGGTGATCCTCTGGGGTTACGCCGAGAATGGTGTCGGCATGATCGTAGGATGCGTCGCCACACTTCGTCCCCTCCTCCAGCGCGTACTCAAACTCGGAAGCAGCGGTAGCTCACATCCCCACACGCCTGCAGCAGGCTATGCGAAACGACCGGTCATAAAGAGTCGTCTGAGTGGAAGAGACGAGGAGTGGGTTGCCCTGGAAGATGGCCAGATGGTCAATATGGTCCATGGGCAAGGGAGTACCGGGAGTGAGGAATACATCCTGCCTGTGAAAGGCGGAGGCATACAGGTTACCAGAAGCGTCGAGCAACGATCAAGCGCCTTGAAAGATTAGGGGTACACCACCCGCAAAAGCGCAAGCTGAACACAGGCACGAAAGCCACATCACATTAGAGAACTACGAAATAATACAATCAGAACCAATAGACAAATCCAACAACATACTCCATCAGATGAAGAGTCAAGCAGGTCTTCGTGCCTACCCTCCAATGTACGGCGACGCCTGCACACGCGCGTCCAAGACCACACAAGCAGCATGCCCAGACTGGGGCCTATGGAGCCGCATGATCGTACCGCGGAGCATCGCGGAATCGCAAAAGCGAAAAAACGGGTCCACACGAATGAGGCGATCCTCCTCAGTTCTGACTCGGCAGGCCAGCCGATCAACTCTCCCCCATCCAAACACAACTCCAGGCTCCAGAAAAACAAACGTTGCCATGTGCCGTATTAGACTACGGCAATGCCGAACGTGTTTGTCGCGTGGCTTCAACGCTCAGCGCCTAGACGAACGATGACTCGGTTGACTTTCGGGGAAATTGAGGAGCGAGCGCCTGTGGGACTTGGAACGGGCTTGGGCCACGGGTGTTACGGAAGAGCGGCACTGGGGGTCATGAGCGTGCGCAACGAGCTTGCGACGCATCACGATCAAAAGATAAATTGAACCTCCACAGGATAGTAGAAGTAACAACCTAGGACTCTTCATTGCACTCAGATTTTGCTGGTACTCATTTTCGATACTAATGTAAACTGCAGGGCACCTCTTCAATCCCTTTTCCTCACGACAGCCGCGATGCACCGTCGTGCTCGCGCCACTGTGATCGGCAATTGTCGTAGCAATCGCCTATTTTGCGTTTTCTGGGAATAGCTGTTCGGACAAAGGGGCGCTGCGACAATGCATCGAGCGATTCGTAGAGGCTGCGTGGTGCATCGCTCAAGCCGAAGTAGAGATATCTGAGGAGGGTGCAGGTGGTGTACAGTACCCGCTCATCAGGCCCACCGTGTCGCGCGTCAGCGTCGGTGCATGTACTCACATCGAAGTATGTATCGTATATGCGCTGCACTGGTTTGAATTTTGGTTCGCAACGAACTCCTAACAGAGGTGGAAGTATAGGTGTCTTTTTGTTGACCGACACGTCAATGGTCGGCCGAGTAGCGATGGTTCTGACTATGCAGTCAGCAATCCTACGGTTTGCAATACGCCTTGCCAACGCCTTGATTATCCGCGACCTATGTCGTAGATATAAAGATGACTTCGAAGTCATTGCTCATGTTGATAGCTGGTAGTCGGAAGGTGATACCATCGCCATCATGACAGACTTCGAAAAGGCGTACGAAAAGGCGATTGCAGACAAGATTCTTCCTGGATACGCTCTTCTTGCAGGCAACAGAAACGGTCCATAATCATCCTTGGCACAAGGCAACAGCCATCTAACAACGAAGCAGGCAACATCCTGTACTCTGGAGCGAAAGGTGTTCAGTCACTTGCGGAAGGCTCGACACGTCCTTTCCAACTCGATACGATATGCGGGATCGCATCGATGACAAAACTCATGACTGCAGTGGCAGCCTCGAAGTGCGTCGAGGAAGGACTAATCACGCTTGATGAAGACGTGGCCAGATACTTGCCTAGTATTGGAAAGTACGGCATTATGACGAGCTTCGACGAAAAGACGAATGAGGCGGTCACTGTGCCTAACACCACGCCGATCACCCTGAGGCAAGCGTTGTACTAATGCACTAGCTGATGGGAAACTGACCGGAACAGGATGCTTCTGAGTCACACAAATGGCCACGAGTACGATTGGCTCAATCCTGATCTGGGGAAGTGGCGTGCAAGCCGCGGAGAGACCCCGTCTTGTGGACCGACAGTGGAGGACAAACATACCCTGCCGCTCCTTTACGAACCAGGCACCAGCTTCAAATACGGCCCGGGATCGGACTGGGCAGGCAAGGTCATCGAGAAAGTGTCGGGGAAAAGACTCGATGCCGTCATGAAGGAGAAGATCTGGGATCTTCTCGGCATAGACGACATCAGCTTTTTCCCAAAGGAGAGATCCGATATGAAAGATCGCATGGCGAGCATCAGCACGTTGAATGAGCAGGGTGAAGGGCCGGCAACGGATGTTGGAGGGTTCGACGTCTTCGTCGATGCCACAGACTGCCTAGGAGGTGTAGGTGCTTTCGCGAGCGCAGACGCTTACTTTACCTTTCTTCAATCCGTGTTGAAGCGCGACTCAAGGCTTTTGAACGACCACTCTTGGGACGAGCTTTTCAAACCGCAGCTCGATGAGAGATGCAAGAAGGAGCTGAACGACTACCTCATGTCTTCACCTCTTCACACGCAGCTTCTGAGTATGGGTCTGCCTGCGGATATCGAGAAGCAATGGTCGTTCGCTGGAATGATAGCCGAGCAAGGCCAGGAAGGACGCATGAATCCTGGGACACTCTTCTGGGGCGGCGTTCCTAGTCTGACCTGGTATCTCGACTTCGAAGCCGGGGTCTGCGGTGTGGCGTTCTGCCAGGTCATCCCGCCGATGAACCCACGCATATTGAAGCTGCATGAATTGTTTCAAAGGGCAATATACGAGAAGGCGGCCGCCTAATAAGTTGGGGTAAGTATGTTGGATGAGGGGTTGAGTGGCACGGTGGACTGTCGAGAATGCTGTGATAGCAATGTATGGTCTGTGCGCTTATCGATAGGCAGGTAAACATGATTGTCCCTTCCGAGCTAATCCCATGGACTCCATCCATCTTCTCTTTCTACGAAATCCTCTTCAGCAGATCCGACATTGAGCTTTCAGTGTAAAGTGACATCAGTGTCACTTCAAAGCTTGGCAGGATGCATAGTTCGAGGCGTTCCCCGCATTACGGACTCAGTTGGGGCACGGTCCTGCCAAGCGCTTGCTGCCTGTTGCCTGCCTTACTGCCTACTATTGGCTAGGTAAGAATTGCACTCAGTATGCGGCAGTGCAATTCTATCACTATATAGTCGAACAAGTCCCCCTCTTATCGAGCGAGCAGAATCACGTTCTCATCGGTTTTCTTTTACCAATCTTAGCGACCACCACCAAAACCTATTGTCACACGCCCTTTCTTCAACCATTCTTTTAAACGTACCACCACTCATCCAGTTTATCCATCTGACACAGTCTCCTGAGACTCGGCCATGGCGACATCGTCCGGTAGTGTTTTCGGGGCGACGCTCAAGACCATCACGACCACCAAGCTCGAAGAGCTTGCGAAGCAGCGCGGAGTATTTGAAGAAGAGTATGCTGCACTCACCACCGCCGCGAAAGCCGAAGCAGACCCACTGAAGCGCGTATGTCTTCTTCTCGATGGCTCGAAAACTTGTTTGGGTTTCCAGACGGAGAAGAAAACCAAGTATGGGCGAGTCGGTCGAGTTATCAGCGGAACATCCAGGAACCTTCGTCTCGAGACTGATCTCAAGAACCTCGATCGCTTCGTCGAACAGGCCCGCTTCGATCCCTCTGTGTCGAACAAGGTCCTCTCAGATTGGGAACAGACCCTTCTACGGTATCTTTCCATTCAGTCGACCAAGTACCAGTACGCCGACCTCTACGGCAAGCTCGTCAGTGAATGGCTTTCTTCTGAAAAGTCTGCAACGGACGATGGCGATGTCGAAATGGGTGAGAGCTTCGAAGAAGTGCCTGGTGCTAAAAAGCTGGCGTCCCGCGCCGCATGGGAGAAAGACGTCTTCCAAGCGGCCGAAGTAGACGAGCAAGCACTAAGATCGTATCTTGATGAGTTGTTCCAGGCGAACAAGAAAGACAGCTCCGCTGCTATTCGCGAGCTGCGCAAGACAGTCGAGAACTTCGAGGCTAATCTGAACTATTCGACACCGTTCAACCCCACTAGCCTTCGTTCCACCATCGAAGGCCTTTTGAATTCCGATCTTCTTTCGAATGAGAAGCGAGAAGCCCTTAGGGACTTCCTCGGTAACGGCAAGTACATATCCTTCGTAGAAATATCTGGTAGCTAACAACCCCGCAGATGTGATACTCGCCGAATTGTGCGACATTCTCAACGTACGCATGGCATCTCTCGATCGCTGGTCTTGGGGACCGCATGTTCTACTAGAGCAGCGAAGGAAGATCAACGGCGACTTCTCTATCCACTTCGATCCGGACCTTCTTCAGGCGATCTTCCTCCATTACGTCGGTGTGACATGGTAAGTCGACTACTACCGCAAGACATGCACAAAGGAATGCTGACCAAATAACTTCTAGGTCTGTCTTCTTCAAGTCCGCATTCTTGGCCATGCACAAGCACCAAGCTTGGCCGAGAAACTCCACAGAGGTCCCGAAAGTTGACCGTCTACGCCGATCGTACTTCCTGGGCGACAAAGGCACGGACACTAAGTCCAGTGTCGAGAAGAAGCGGATGAGCACACACCACAACCGATATTTCGCCCACCAGCTACTGGACTATGATACACAGCAAATCGAGGCACAAGATGGTGAAGAGGAAGCCGAGTATGGGGACTACGTCGCCAAGAAGCGCAAACCCAACGTGCAACGGGAAATGGCTGACAACCAAATGCAATACCATTTCAACACAATTCAACAACCGAGCGGAGGAAGTGTAAGCCAACTATCCCAGCTAGCCCGCACTCAGGGAGGGAGGACGAAGCAGACAGCAAGAAAGGCTACTAACTCTAGCTTGGCTAGAGCCGCTGCGCCTAATCAGCGTAATGGTGCCGGCTTGTTTGGAGGGAACGCCCAAGCGGAGGTAGACGAAGATATAGGGGGTGACAGAGATCGCGACGCGTGCGACTGGGAAGATGAGGTGCACAAAAGTCAGTCGAAGAAGCCTATGGAAACAAAGCAAGGCCTGCTTCATCTCTTGTCCACTGAAATCGTTCTGAACACAAGACTGCACGGAGGACTGACCTGCTTCTCAACGACTTTTGACTCGTGGAATCCACTACTACCACATCAGACCATTTATACGGTTCTAGACTTTCTTGGCGTCTCGGATAGGTGGAAGAAGTTCTTCGAGCGATACCTTCAGGCACCTCTGAAGTTCAATGATGAC